TACTCCGACATTATTGGAGTTGCTACATGTATACTAACAAGCAACTCTGAGATCCATGGTTCTGGGAACATGCATGGTTACCTACTTACAAGAAAGCAGTACTTTTCCAAATGTAAAAATGATTAATAGTGGCATGTAGATGTTTACGATAAACTTAAGCCCTCCGGCTTGTGTATCAATGGGTGCGCACCATTGATGGTCTTTCAAAGATAATGATATGGCTCATACCACCGTATACGACGTCAAAATGAAGGTCAATCCTTATGTATGCTGATGTGGCGACCGCCAGATAAAATATCTTTATAGCATGACATCTACGGGTTTCCGTAGTAGTCAGGAGCGTAGTGTCCAAAGAAAAATAATGTGTGTGCCATACGTCAAAACAGTAACCAATAAATAAAATCAAAAGAATGGCAGGGTCTGTTCATTCACGGTTATCACAGGGGCACGGTTCAATTTATCAATTTATATCTTTGGCCTCCTTGTTTACCATACATTTATATCTGAGGCCTCCTTTTTAACATACATTTATATCTGAGGCCTCCTTGTTTACCATACATTTATATCTAATGCCTCCTTGTTTACCATACATTTATATCGGAGGCCTCCTGATTGATTGATTGATTGATAGGTTTTACGTCCGCTTCACTACCGGATGTATCGGTTATTCAGCAGACGATGGAGGAGGCCTCCTTTTTTACCATACATTATGTATGGTAAACAAGGAGGCCTCAGATAAAAATGTATGTATTGTCTATAGAAATTTATGATTTGTTCTAACCAAATGATCTGATGAAGACTACTTCTTATCGCAATAAATTATGTATTTATCGTTATTGCGAAGAAAAATGAGATCCGGACTTTCTCCTCCGAGAGGTAAACTCGGTGTTTGTATTATGGTATACCTAAACTGGTTACGGTACATGTGTACACTTTAGAAGGATGGACGTAGCACCCACATATGTAATTACACCTATAGAAACACGAGTTAACAAATGAAAATCAGGATATCTTAGTTTACATTATATACCGATATTAAAACAGAGGCACCCGACTGCCTTAGGTCACAGTTTTGATGTTGTATCACGTTCTAACTCGGTCCACAAAAAAAGTATTCCATAATTTTAGAATATATGTGTACCTAGGAGTTAAAGATTGACAGTTTAATATTATTTGGTCTGTTCCCATTTAGGGACAACACGGCCATCATTAAGGGACAACAAGGCCATCATTAAGGGACAACAAGGCCATCATTAAGGGACAACAATGCCATCATTAAGGGACAACAATGTCATCATTAAGGGACAACAAGGCCATCATTAAGGGACAACAAGGTCATCATTAAGGAACAACAAGGCCATCATTTAGGGACAACAACGCCATCATTAAGGGACAACAAGGCCATCATTAAGGGACAACAAGGCCATCATTAAGGGACAACAAGGCCATCATTAAGGGACAACAAGGCCATCATTAAGGGACAACAATGCCATCATTAAGGGACAACAATGTCATCATAAAGGGACAACAAGGCCATCATTAAGGGACAACAAGGTCATCATTAAGGGACAACAAGGTCATCATTAAGGGACAACAAGGCCATCATTATGAAATTGTTTGGTTGCTGTTTCCCGACCAACCCGTTAAAATTAGAATCTACTGATTTGATTTTATTTTATTTTCTGAAAAAAATGCTGAAAATAATATTATTTTTATAAAGGAATCTTTTAATTTAAAAAAAAACAAAAAAAAAAAAACATATTAGTAAAGAACTCTGAAAACAAACATGTTTTTAAGGATGACCTTATTGATATACATGTAGTTGCAATTATATACTGATGTTAGATTATCATGTTGCCAGGTCAATTGGTGGGGAAATGAGAAAGCTGACTCCTGCCTGGCTGAAACAAATGACTGGATGAGATATTCCACAGAAAAGGATTGTCTATACTGTGTGCATTATACTATTTTCGGCCGCAGTGACCCCGAACTGAAAACGTTAACTATAAAGTCGTCGATAAGCTATTGGGAAAACGTTGGACAACTTGTCAAACGCATGCTAAACCAAATCTTAACACCGCGGTTACATACATCACTCCAGGCAGGTGAAGTTAAGACATTAAGCGAGTATTCAAATTAATTTGCAAAGCAAGCTTTTCATGTTCCGGATGTAATGGTGCTGGTGGAAACTTCGTGTTTTACCCATTACAATTGTACTGTTACAGCTAAGGGATATGGGGGAATTTCCAGTGATGCAGTTTAACCATTGGACGCGCTTGCTACAGTTCAGCAACGTCGAGTGTGATCAGCGCTGAATGGGTGGCTGTATAACAGATTAGTATACCATGTCATTCCAGACTTCGAAGACAAAGGGATGCACTTACGCAAAGACGATGGATTTTGAACAGAAACCAAAGAGAGGCCGATTGAGGGCGCTGTTTGGACGGGATCACAGAAGGAACAATGTAATGCAGACATTATCCTAAAGAGACACTCCAGCCTTGTAACTGATGCCGTTGTTTGATCACATTTCACTCTACATGTGGACTTTATCAATCCTGATTTTAAGTCTCGGTACCTGGACACCAATACATCGAAATATCGATTGCCAACAATACTTATATACTGTCTTCTTAAGAACGATAGGACCTTAATAGAGAGGAAACTTTTATATAATTAATATATTTTTCCTCCTAACCTTATCAATACATATTATTCTAAAGTACTTATTTTGTGTTTTGATTTTATTCTCAAACACAGTAGGAGTTTCTGTCAATTAAGGCACGGCCATGCTGAATCTGGCGCGCAAGACAGAGCAGACCGTGCTAACCCGGCTCCGGGAGGAAGGGATACTCCCTAATAAGGGATTGGGAGGCGTGGCCTTCACTGTCGACATGAATGTGGAGATTCCAGGACTATCAACCTCAGATGGTGGTTATTTATCAATTACCGGGAGTACCGGATTATTCACGGGGTATTACATGTACCGAAGCAGTTCCGGAAGGACTGCGAACCCTACTCTGCTCACCACCAGAGTTGTTCTCAACAAGATGCCTTCCAAGGGGAGATAATCAGACACGGAGTTTAAAAAGAACCAGGTATTAAAAAATAAGGGGAAATGGCACGTTTATCGAAACAGAGACATAAACTGGCTGCAGCCAAACGAAAAGCAAAAGAGAAAGACCAACGTGAACGAATGGAAGAGAAGATGATTAAAGTTGCATCACAAAGGGTTGCGAAAACGATAAGGTCAACATTAAATTACGAATGGAGAGAGCAAGGATCAACCGGGAATGAAAAGCAGAAGAAAACAATAGAAGAAACGAGGAAAAATTGGCAAGAGTTTCTAGGATTGAAAATGCGAATAAGATTTCAACAGAAGAGAGAGATAAGTCGAGCAAAAGAGAGATAGATATGGGAAAAGAAGGAGAAAAAATGGAAGAGTTGAAATGGAGTCGCAGAGTAAACACACCAGTAGCATCCCTACCTAACATGGAAGTGTAGCCGTGATGCTGATGATTATTTGTGATGATGATGATGATGATGATGATGATGATGATGCCGGTGATGATGATGTTGACTTTTTTGCGTATGCTTTTTTTCAATTTAGACGTCAATAGTCCCCTGACTACTGTTGATGTGCCCTTGTTAATTTACCCAGCTGTAAAATAGGGTATCGGTATACTGGAAAATCATTCTGTTCCGTGCGGCGACAATTATCTACTGTCACTTCACAGTTTAGGATTCAATCCTTATGGATCTTGTTTCGTTCAGTCTCTCCATTAAATACTCTTCAGCGTCTTACATTGTCGTTTCCGTTCAAGGTATGTTGCCGTAATGTTCATTTTCATTTTTTTAAATCCAAAATTTATAGAAAATACCAAAACAACAAAAATGTACATATTATTATACTATTTTGCCTATTAAAATTATGGAGATTTTGACTGTCCAATAAAAAGTGCATGAGATGAGGGTTTTGCTGTCCTGACCACTTCACTCCGATATCTTAACAAATATTATTCACCTTCAACCACCAGTCTTGGCAAGTAACAAAAATGTGATCAGCATAACTGACAATCTATAGCAGTAGGAACATGATTAATTACTTGCAACATAAAGTACACCTATCTATTGGGTTATAGATCTACAGGTTCATACCTCTGAAACTATGGACGTGACATTATCACTTAAGATCAAGTATACCTATCTATTGGTTATCGATAAACAGCTTCAAACTTCAGTAACAACGGAAGTGACGTAATTACTTAACATCAGGTAGACTAGTCCGAATTATTCTGACGTTTTATCGACTTTTTTCATATCGGTCTGTCGTCGATTAACGTCAGAACTCCGGCACTCTATAATATGCGGGAAATATGCGACCCGCACCCGGAGCGCACTTCAAACTGATATTTTAGAAACAAATCGTCACTTTCACACACATGTCGCACATGGATCGAAAGATCTATTCTTTATGCACAAGATTAACATACATAACATGCCTCAAACAACCAATACAATCACTAAAAACATATTTTTTCAAACTTACTCTGTTTTACTCTAGTTTTTTGATAGCCCCGCCTTCTAATGCCACGTGACTAAAATCTCGCCGGCCTACGTCATAACGTTGGGAAATACCTTCGGTAACGCGAGATCTCGTCAAGTCATGTGACATTGCTCATGGCCTAATTTCCATTAAAAACATGAGTTGGTATAGAAAACGTTGGAAAATACTTTTCGTAATGATCTTTGAAACATGTTATTGATACCACCTAGTGCATAAAGAATAGATCTTTCGATCCATGTGCGACATGTGTGTGAAAGTGACGATTTGTTTCTAAAATATCAGTTTGAAGTGCGCTCCGGGCGCGGGTCGCATATTTCCCGCATATTATAGAGGGCCGGAGTTCTGACGTTAATCGACGACAGACCGATATGAAAAAAGTTGATAAAACGTCAGAATAATTCGGACTACAGGTAGACCTATCCTACCTCTGTAACTACGGAAGTGACGTGCCGACACGTGTTCCTGCTGTAGAGTAAGGATTATCTCTTATACTCTTACAACCTTTCCCATAGTAATAAATCAATCTTTACAAGTTTCACTTTCTGCTATTTTTCTCTTTAGAAGTTTATTTAACCTACTCTTATGCATTGATATAACACGGATTTTTTTTAAAACGAACTCGGACTCGAAAATGTATAGGGTCACCTGCTCGACCACGTGGGTTTCTCTGGGTACTCCGTTTCCTCCCACATAAAGACCCTCTGAACTCCCATCAGGGCCAAGAGAGTGATCAACATCAGTTGTTTTATAACAATTTCAAATAAATACAGTGTACCTATATATATTTTACAATTAGGGATGGTGGTCTGACAGAATGACCCCATTATACTATCCCGTATTAGATTTCTCTGTCCTATCTTGCCAGGACATAAACACATATTGTGACATCATAGTGTTAGGTTAGCCTCGTCTTGAACAAATAGAAAACTTAACCCAATGGTTGAGATTTCTCAATTTCATATCGTAACATGTATTGTCTTGGTCTAGTTTGAAACCTTAATACAATTGCACGTGACTTTGAATATGTTGAGTTTCCTGGAATGTTATACAAAAAACCTCAATCAATGATTTACAAACTGCCGTTTAAAAACATCGCAAAATTCGCTCGTACAGTAAGTCTCAAGTTTGTAAACACACACAAGGAAATGCAGTTTTATGGCTGGAAATAAAACTGTAAACTATCAGAATGTCTACATATGTTCGTCTTGACCGGATGTAACGCGTGGGATATCACGACATGAACGGAACACTGTATTACCCCTTGGTTCCACTGTGCTGGATAGAAATGTTGGAAAAAATAAGACCGCACGTCTCGCAAAGTGGCGCGAGAATACAGCCGACGAGATTTCCGACGCATTTCTGCATGGCGCTACAGTTGATGACAAGGATCCGTAACGCAGGAGTCACACACCACACGTGTTCAAACGCCACGAAGGCAAACTGGAATCCCCAGAAGAAGGCCATGCAGAGTCCACAGAAGACAGCCATAAAGTTGTAACAACAGTTTTTGCTGCACCAGAAACATTGCTGAGAAGTTTCCCACACACAGTCGAAGCTTTGGGTGCCGTCACTCTCCGCGAACACATCCTCAAAGTCAGCCTGATGGGACACAACAGTAACAAATAAACCATTATATTACATAAATATGTCTCTCAAACGATAGTCATGTACATGTAGTAAACAACGCTAAATTAAAAAGAATATATCTGCTCGATATGAAAGAAATTCTTTAAACTGTCTAATGGTTTTGTCCTGACATCGCTGTCTAGGGAGTAAGTCATCATTTAGTCGAGTGTTAGTCCGTTAACTAAAATCCCCTGCACACTAATTAATCATATAACACCCTCGGGAGTTTTCGTAACTCACGGAAATGACCGAACAAGTCAGCTTAACCCATCCCAGCCGTCACGACGCGCGAGGTGGGCGGAGCTTGCTACCGAACTTGGAAGCATTTGGCTCCATTGCCATCAAAGGGGTAGTTGGGACGTGAAGCTATATAGCTTATGGTTTACAAATATTTTCTAGTTAAAACTATCTCTCCAGTGTGTATCGGTATAATAAAACGCTTAAAGTATGGGGTTGAGGGATATAGCAAGTTTCTGGTGTCCCTTGACATGCCTATTTCCCTCGGCATCGCTATAAACTAAAACCAACACTCAGCTAGATATAAACTCAGACTTACACTCATATATATATATACACTCTAACACTTAGCTCGCTATAAACTAAAACCAACACTCAGCTAGATATAAACTCAGACCTACACTCATATATATATATACACTCTAACACTTAGCTCGCTATAAACTAAAACCAACACTCAGCTAGATATAAACTCAGACTAACACTTAGCTAGATAAAAAATACTTAGTTTACTATCAACTTATGTTAACAATCAGCTAGGTTTAAACTTAATCTAGCACTCGTCTATGTATTAACTCTAACACTGAGCTCTAGCTTTAAACTCAGGCTAATACTCAGCAAGGTATAAACTCAGACTACTACTCAGCTAGGTTTATACTCAGTCTAACACACAGCTAGGTTTAATCCCTCACGAACAGTCAGTCAAATGTAAAGTTGATATATAACAGTATCGGGAACAAAACCCGACCAGGAGCTTATCCTTATATGTAACGAATGATGACTCTGTGTAATCAACCCCTCACCAGTAGCCGACTTTCGGTAATTAGGTTATGTAGATCTCATTTACAGGTGGAAATTCTGAATGCAAAATAATCAAACAGCCATAGAAAACTCTTTCCATAAAACAAATGAACCAGCAGTATGTCAACATTCATAAACTAGATTTATTCAACTTTATATGACCTTTATATTTCGGTTGAAACATAATTTTCTTCTTTGGTATTGTGGTATGTAGGCCTAGAATACTCAAATGAAACTTTATTTGAAACAAACATCTTACAAACTTTATTGTATGACAGTACACACTTTAACAGATTCAACTTAATTTTGTTACCTGTTTACAACGGAAAAAAGAACGTAAATTGAAATACTGTCTCTAGACTCCTCCACCCGTCCCCGTGATTTTTGTTTGAAATGTGCGAACCATGATTGTACTTTTAAGTTAAGAATGTGGGTGAAAATTATTATTTTTGATATACCTAAGATATTTGTTTATGACACTTAAAAGATCAAATTAATCAAATGAAACAAACAACACCTGTAATTATATCTTACCTGTACGTGTATGTTGATTCCGTTTGGGTCTCTATCCTGTTTGGGGGAGACCATGATTACTCTGTATTAACCTGAGAGAATGCCCTCCGGTCCTTATATAAGGTAGAAGTCAACAGTCCCTGGAGGCTGTGGACGTATAAACCGCCTTTAATGCGAGTGTTTTACTCCGCAATAAATGTTGAAATGAAATAAGTGTTAATATTCTTTAAGGAACGTATACAAGTCAAGTATTGCCCTTTTATAAGGGAGACGGAAATATGTATTCCCCCCGGATTTGTACTGTGATTATGTAGGATCTTCTCGGAATCAATGAGTCACCCCACAGGTAAACGAAAAAGGCCCAGTTAAGGTTGTACCTGCCACTGTTACCTGATAGTACGCGTACCATATCACTGTTACAGTGATGGTTAGCGCCCAATCACTGTTACAGTAACGGTTAGCGCCCAATCAATGTTACAGTAACGGTTAGCGCCCAATCACTGTTACAGTAACGGTAAGCGCCCAATCACTGTTACAGTAACGGTAAGCGCCCAATCACTGAAACAGTAACGGTTAGCGCCCAATCACTGTTACAGTAACGGTTAGCACCCAGTGACTGTTACAGTAATGGTTAGCGCCCAATCACTGTTACAGTAATGGTTAGCGCCCAATCACTGTTACAGTAACGGTTAGCGCCCAATCACTGTTACAGTAACGGTTAGCGCCCAATCACTGTTACAGTAACGGTTAGCGCCCAATCACTGTTACAGTAACGGTTAGCGCCCAATCACTGTTACAGTAACGGTTAGCGCCCAATCACTGTTACAGTAACGGTTAGCGCCCAATCACTGTTACAGTAACGGTTAGCGCTCAATCACTATTACAGTAACGGTTAGCGCCCAATCACTGTTACAGTAACGGTTAGCGGTCAATCACTATTACAGTAACCGTTAGCGCCCAATCACTGTTACAGTCACGGTTAGCGGTCAATCACTATTACAGGAACGGTTAGCGCCCAATCACTGTTACAGTAACGGTTAGCGCCCAATCACTGTTACAGTGATGGTTAGCGCTCAATACAGTAATTATTAGCGCTCAACCTCTGATCGGGGAAGACTTTTCGACATCCAGTCTTTTATCACCAGGTTGATTTCGTCAAAACTTTCCTGAAATATTCCTCCCATATTTTATCTATGATCATGTTTGTGTGCATAGTATGTAATGTACGTGACCTCTTATTTGCAATTGAAAGCCGTATAACACTTGGTAAATAAAGAATCGGAAGCAGGACTGACTGAATGTAACCAAACTGGATATGTCCCATTAGGCTCTGTACAGGTGCTGTGTTTGGGCTGATTTGAAATACGCACCCATACCCTTCCCTCTGATTGTTATAATTAGCTGCTACATGTGATTGTCAATAACCCATAATCAATATTTACCCAAACCCAAACCCCCAAACATTACCTTCTTGTCTCTATCGTCTTATCCCTAGCACCGTGTTGTTATTTTAATTTCTATTTGGGTCAATTTATAATCTGAGATTGTCGCTATGGTATCAAGTTACCGAAAAATTTCACCTTCTTGACCTGTCCACATAATGTAAGACACAAGTAAGGCACACACGTTTAATTCCGTCTTTGCGTATTGCAGGATTATCTCCTCTTGGGAGCAGGTATTGATTGTTACGTCACTTGTTTGTGAGAGTAACGTCATCATTATTTGAGAAAACGACGTGATTTTCTTTCACACAAACCAATGACGTAACAATCAATACCTGCTCCCAAGAGAAGATAACTCTGCAATACGCAAAGACGGAATAGGCGATTCTTGGTAACATGTTAAGTTAAAACAAATAGATAATCAGACATAATTCTGATCACGTGACATAGTGCTACACATTTAGTATCCTGATAGCATTGGTGCTCATCTTTCTTATAAATGAAATATAAATTATTCAAACGTTAACGTCTTTTCTTCTGACATAAAAACAGAAAAATAATTTAACGCCCAGCAAATACGCTACGTTTTCAAATGATCAGAATTATGTTATTATTTCTTAAGTTTTGTAATGAAATTATTGCTAAATAAGACTTCCTTAGTTGGGGTAGAGATGTTTAATATCCTTGGTATCCTTTGGATTACCTTGAAGTGTTTATCCTGATTGAGGTTCCCGTTGTGTGTGGTAAGAAATTACATAAAACAGGATTTCAAAACTTGCAGTCCCCCGCACGCGGTTGCTTTTCTTAATATATAGATATATATAGTATGATGTTCGTGTATTTTGAGAAACTTTCGTAGTGTATAATGTCCCAGGGCGTGAGGATTCCCTTAAATCGAAATTCCTTCTAGTTCTGTATTATCATCCCTATACGCTTATACATCGATGTCTTGAAGAGGCACACCTTGTACTTGATAAAGGGCTGTATGTCTATTACCATTAGCAGGGTGGGTCGTCTATTTTGGTCTCCTTTCTATTCATTAATAAAAGGTGCGTTTGGCTATGTTTACCTTAAATCCGACCTAGAAATCTTTAGGGAGATTTGTACATTTTAGGGGATTTTTTTTGATTTTTTTAATTTTTTTTTATTTATGTCATATTTTATTGGAACTTAATTTACACAATCTTCTTGGTCTTTGATAATGACTATTATCCAGACCTTTTTTTTCGTTGCTTCAATATTGTAATAACGTTGACATCCCATTGTGCCGACAAACCCTCAAGGTCGCTACATCGTACTATTGACGTCTCCATCGCGTTGACAGACCCCCACTGTCGCTACAGCGTATACGTACTATTGACGTCCCCATTGTGCCGACATACCTTCACGGTCGCTACAGCGTAACTTTGACTTCCCTATTGTGCCGACAGACCCACACTGTCGCTACAGCGTACCCTTGACTACCCCATTGAGTCGACAGACATTCAAGGTCGCTACAGCGTACCATTGACGTCTCCATCGCGTTGACAGACCCCCACTGTCGCTACAGCGTATACGTACTATTGACGTCCCCATTGTGCCGACATTCCTTCACGGTCGCTACAGCGTAACTTTGACGTTCCAATCGCGTTGACAGACCCTCACTGTCGCTACAGCTTACATTGGCATTCCTTCCGTGCCGACATACCCTCGCGGTAGCTACAACGTACCAATGGCATCCCGACCGAGCCGACAGACCCTCACGGTCGCTACAGCGTACCATTGGCATCCCCACCGAGCCGACAGACCCCTTCGGTCGCTACAGCGTACCATTGACATCCCAGCCTATAGCTAGCCGACTTACTTTCCCGGTCGCTACAGCGTATCATTGACATCCCAGCCTATAGATAGCCGACTGACTTTCACGGTCGCTACAGCGTACCATTGGCGTCCCAGCCTATAGCTAGCCGACTGACTTTCACGGTCGCTACAGCGTACCATTGGCGTTCCAGCCTATAGCTAGTCGACTGACTTTCGCGGTCGCTACAGCGTACCATTGGCGTCCCAGCCTATAGCTAGCCGACTATCTTTCACGGTCGCTACAGCGTACCATTGGCGTCCCAGCCTATAGCTAGCCGACTGACTTTCACGGTCGCTACAGCGTACCATTGGCGTCCCCACCGTGCCGACAGACTTTCGGTCTTAATGGCACTGCCCACGGACCCTGCTGTTTATACATGTATTAGCTGAGCTGTATTGATTAAACCATTATACCACCAATAAATCAAAAGGATTCCCGAGGAGATAACACCCCATACTGGTGGGTACAATAAACCCAACAAGATATCTCATTTAGTTTATGTTCGACACGATCTTGGCCTCTTTTAACCTTACCGATAACATCAACATGTGCGCCATTATAAGTCATATGGCACATATATCATCGGTGTCAGCGTGTCCAAAATTCTTCTTACAAAATGTCGTACCTATCTCCATACAAAGGTAAGCTAGATCAAAACAAGGCAAGCTGTTTATTTGCAGTCGCTTTCTAGTGATCGTGTTTTGACAGATCATCCAGCATTTTTTTCTGACAATCTTATTTCATTATAACACCATTATAAATTGACCTTTCAATATTGAATTGATTTTTTTTTCAAACACAATTAAACTATTTTTTTGGCTATGCATATTTATTTATATCATAACTTTTGCACGTGATCAATGCCTTTTTATAACACCACGAATTAATTTGGGAATTATAGGGCCATGTATAAGTTAAAAGTAGTTCACTGGTCCGAGAAATTGTCATATAGATCGAAGTATCATGAGAACTAAACGGGACGCTTATATGGACCAATCCTGATGTGTAGAAAGTACATGTAACGAAAATACTTGACATCATTGGAGGGGTGGACTATCCCTGACGTAAAAAGTCTCTTTACAAGACACGATCGCCGTCATCAGATCCCTGTGATATACATGTAGAATGTTCCTTGTACCAACTTTTATGCAGATATCTGTTTTTCATAACACTTCAATGTAATAATAAATAGTATTGACGTTCATACACACTTATGTCCTTTACTTAATTTTATATTCAGAGACGTTCAAATAATGTCTGGTTTATTGCCGCAAGAACTTGATAAGTTTACCTCGACTCCGGTATTGGCCTTAGGTATGGATGTTAAACTCATTGGTTAACTTTTTCATTACATTATCCCAGAGAAGATACGATTTTAACGGTGGTAAGTTAAGGACATGCACAACATTATTACTTCTCGAGCGCTCGTGTTACCCTTTGCGATTACATAACATTTACTATTATATAGCGATTCATACGTTAAGTCTAAGTCGAGCCCTGGAAAAGTTAGGTCGGCCGCTCGAGACAATTAATGTAGAGAATAATGGTGTGCATATCCTAAACGTACCACCGTAGATTTTATCGTAATTCATATTTACAGAAGACGAATTGTGGTTCTGTGAAGAACGGAAAATAACTGCTGGAGCGTTCCTTTACTTTTTAATTTCGTTTTGGATATATCACACATCAGTTGGGCGCAATCGGGAACCGTCGGCACTTTCCGTAAACGAGAATACGGAAAGTGTCAACGGTTCCCGATTGAGTTGGGCGATGACACTTCCGTTGACCTGGTACAAATGTAACCCAGTCGGTTCCTAATCCGATGTCCGGGTTAGGGTTCGAATTCCCGATCTAGCCTAGCTAAACTTTTTACACTCATGTATGGTTTTTCTTTTCAAAAATGATTTACAAAAGCTATAGTACTGCCGGTAAAACCGTTTCCGATACTTATATACAGATTTAGGCAGTGCGACGACGATCCTTAAAATATATAGAAGATTAATGTAAAATTATTTGAATGATTATTCTAATAAATGAAGAAGATGTCAATAACTTGTTTGGTTGAATTTGTATTTTATTCGGGAGCAAGGCAATTTCACAGTCAGGATTCGAGTTTTCAGTTACATGTATATATATATGCAAAATAATACAAATATCACAACACGAACGGCTATAAGAATTATTATAACACAGTGTTTCCACATTATCATAGTAGGAAAATATACATTCTTTAAATCTTCAGACTCAGTTTGCCTGGGATATAACATGTAACGTTAACAATTATATATAATAAATGGTATATTTATCACTGGTCGCAAGTCCGAAAATATCTCTTACGTGTAATTAGTCAGATACGCCCAGGTGCGATGAGCAAGCCAAATTAGCCAACTCGAACATGACACTGGGTCAATATTGACAGATTTACGTATATTTGGTATTGATTTTACTATGTCAATATAAACATGTTGTGTGATGCGCCGACACTATTGCACAGGATAGTATATACAGCCCCACACCTGTGTAATAGAAACGGTAACACCATCCTCAAAATACCAGGGAACGTGAGTGAGCGTAAACCGCCTGGAATTCAAAATTTTCGAAAACTTATTTATTTTAATGTCCGGATAGAAAAACAAAAATGGTAATTTATTTCAAATATATGTTTTAAAGTAAATGAAGTAACGTCAAGTCAACATTCACACAAAACACCTATATAGAGGAATGACCATACACTGTACAAACTTCACTAGAGTTGGGTTGGATTAACAAAAAATCATATATGTAAATTTATTCCACGTTAAAATGTACTTAAAACCAATGACAATTCGCGATTATATGAGCAAAGAATTCTTTTGGATCAGATTTTTAATTAGGTTATGTTTCGTTTAGACACTGTCTGCTTATTTGTACAAAATGTAAACATCGCTTTCCTGGGAACAAGAAATCCTCCCTTCTGCGGAATTAAAGTGATCTGGATATTTGTTACACGTCAGTAACAATTATAAAACAACCCGGAAATGGTACTGCCCGGAAGTGGAGATGCAGTCGAAGCATATCTTGTCATGTTGATCAAGATCCCTTTAGCGTTTGAATGGCGTGAAGATGATGCTCATTGCCTCACAGAATGGATCCATACAACAGTGGATACACATGCCGTAAAGCTTCTGCAGGCACGCACAGTTTATCTCGAGAAGTTTGAACAGGGGTGTGACATACCAGACGTGCACAAAAGTTACGTAAGCGAACTCACAGCCCCATTCCGCGGCTATACAGATCGCACACAACGTCGTCAGGATGGTATAGCAAAGGTCTTTCCAACACGTGAAGCACCTGTAAGAGCATTTCCAAATACAGTCAAGACTGTGAGCGCCCTCTGGTTCCGCCAAAATGTCTTCAAATGAAACCTGAAAGTACACGTAATTGGACATAGGTATTTTAAATAGAAAGGGATTAGATGGCAAAATATACTAAATGTATTGGCAGTAGAAAATCCCTAAAATAAATCTAGTTGTTGGAAGAGGAGCGAGTGAAAATTGTGCAAAATACTTCTTTTATTGTCAGACTAATGGATAGCAGGTCATGACAATATTGGTGGACCACGTGCCAATAGCTTGTTTGTCACAGGTACGGTGAAGGACGTCACACACTTACGCACTGGAGACCAAATGGCGGCTTTTTACATTTCAAGGTTGCATAGAAATTGTCGTTTTACACGAATAAATGCCACAGATCTTGATTATGTGATAAAAAGGATCTTACACTCGTTTTCATTTCATATTAAATTTATGAAACTCGTCACGATTTTTTTAGTCTTAGACTCGTTCCATAAATCTCATATGAAATGAAAACTCATGTAAGATCCTATATATCTTTACTGCTGTGTTATTGTTGTATTTCGTTGTGAGACAACCTAGTTATTGCCACTGTGGTATGGACACGGAACGATGTTTCCCGGCCTTGATTAATCATGTTTTCACACAGCAAGGACATTAAATGTATAATATTCAGGAATGTCATCCATGAATTTTACCATGGACTGGTTAATTTAACTGATCACAATATAACAGTTGTATCGATACACAACTCTTTACGTCGCCAGCAGTACGTCGCCAACAGTAGATTTGGGCGAAGTTTACCAATGCTTATGCAAATTTCAGGCTGTTACTTTTATTGAACTTATCACACGTTAATCAATTTTGAAAATGAAAGTTGTTTCCCAAGTTCAACATTCATAGAAAAGTACGTACTCTAAACATAAGGAATTGTTTTCTATTTTGGTCTGGCTATTAGGTGATAACTCCAGTTGACATATTGAATAGGTCGCGAAACAGAAAGCTTTTCCTTAAATAAGTAGGTAGTGCGTTTTCTGGAAAAAACACCTAGATTGATGATTTGAATAGTTTTACTCGTAAAATTGTAACTGAAAAAACGACAGTGTACGTGTTTTATTCTGCACCGGGATGCTAGAACGCTGACATGTAGTGCAGTTATGCCGAGAGTCGTAATTCCAGTGAGGTTATGGCATTATTGCGTCTTTTTTTCAGAGTAAGATGAAGAGCTGACTGTTGCTATGTTTTTCTGCACCAAGCGCGTGAACTATTCACGGGTAGACTACACTTGATTGGAAAACTGCCAGAGCTCTCATCAATGTTTCATCCTCAAATCAAATGATGAAACGTTATTTACCCACACTAACCGCCGTGTTGTCCTAACGACCACGTAAACATTTGTATGTTAGGTGATGTTGGTAGGCTAATAGGGTCTTCATCAATAATGCAATAAATTGGCCGAAACTTCCAAATCCCTGGAGGTAACTCTAGAAACTGGGAGTCATAGCAACAGCGTAATATTTGTTAATAAGACCAAGGTAAGCACAATGTCTTATATGAGTCAATAATTGTACGTAACCAAGCAGCATCGTGTGGCGTGCGAAATGAGCTATACTTATACCTTCAGACCCACTTCGTGAAAATAACGAAATGTCTATTTGCGTTTAAGGTAAAGAGAAAAGTACCACTGCATTACTTAAATCGCAAAAGAGAGTTCCACTGTTTTATACTTTGAGTATTTTCCCTTCTATAGGAGATGAAGCAACCAAAATGAGTTTTTCTGGCTTAGAGTAACTTCCTCTGTCAAGTTTTTCAGAGGCTTTGTGTCCCATATATGTGCACGTATAATTCCTTGATGACAAAATTAGTTAAAAAGAGGCTTGGCGATGTAAAATTATTTCGACCTCTGTAGTGTTTCTGCTTTCTTCTTTTATTTCTGTTTTCCAACATTCAAATCTAGGATAACACTAATTCTATAAAGTGCACCGCAACATGGGATTTTTACTGTATATCAAAATATTGACAATGGTAAACATATACAGCAGTTTGACCCTTTACCGTTAAAAGAACATACGATACGTAAAACGAACCATATTTACAGTACACCTTGATGGTCATACTTTGATGGTCACATTCATCTTGATTCGAGGCCTGTTTGCCTCTCCACAGTTAGTAAAACAGACCTTAAACTTAATGTATTACCAAGCTTTATGAAAGATATCATCCCGATGTATTCAATTTTGATTGCGAAAGAGATCTACATGTTATAATAGCGGTTTGACAAAATTTATGTTGACCATACCATCTTTTAGAGTCATGGAGCCGATTTCGTGCGGAAATTCAGATTCTGTGTTTAAGCCCTTGTTTCTTGTTCTGGCGATCAATTATTAATAAAGTTATTTTGTAAATGATTTGGAAGATTTTTGGACAGTCTTGAAACCGAATACCGTGTTCAATGTTTACGATTGACTTTTTTTTACCACGTCACATGATTTTACCGAGTTGTACAGAAAGTTGATTCGAGTACAAAAGCCATGCTTGAGCATGAGAACGGTCTCATGAATACGGACCCCGCATGTCTCGTTGGTATACCGTTCCAATGACCATTTGTGAGACTGTAAAGTTGTAATGACCCAAGACAGAGATTAACGTCTTATACAAAACATATGTCTTCCAGCAGAATATACCCAAATACAGTTAAGCACGATTTTGTTTAACAGTGTTCCTGTTCCACCAAAACACCGATTTGTATTAACGTTCCCCTCGTCTCTCTGATAAGAAGGATGATTACGTGATGATCAATACCACTGTTAGCCAGTGTGATTCAAACCATGTCGTACACTTATAAACAACTAATGAAAACATTTTGCCATCGTTCCAATACACTTGAATGACGCTCTAATGACCATGACGTAAGAAACTGTATAATGAAAAAGGAAGGGAGGGGTTTAGCTGATGATGATGGTTACGATTGCTTCGGGGCTTAATTGTACACATCTAGCTTCAGTAAGTTTCTGGCATTTTTAGGTAAGCTACGACTGAATTGTTGAGAAAACATGCAAGTTTTGGTATGTAAAATTATTTGATTATTTAACTCAATAAAACAAAAAAAGTATGAAGAAAATCAATATTATCGATTGGATTTAAATATTATACAGTCAGCTTACCTTGAGGTGGTCATTGATGTTGTTTGGGTCTCGGTTGACAAGGTCCAGCTCTTCAGTCATTTTGCGTCGTTATAAAGCACTACAAAACACGTGAAAAGTAGCCTGGGTATGTTCCGGAATGAAGTGGTCGTCGCCCGTACCCGAACAGGCTTTTATAGCATCCCCCGCTTGTGTTGCTGTACATGAAATATTCATGGCATACACAAACAGGTGTGTTATTAGCCAATAAGCTTAGGTGGGTTTGGCCAAGCATTGTTTACCTGAGGAATCACCCGAGTTACGAAACAAATCCAACCATTTTAAATACCAACTATGCTGAATATGACGGTACGAGTTTACAGGAATGTAGGTGGAGATGTAATATTTATTACTAAGAGTAAATAAAAAATATTTGCTTGTCCAGGTTGAACGTGAACGCAAACATCACACATATACATGTACTAATGTTCGACCTGTGATATATTTTTTTAATTAGTATTTCCGCGTTGTGCTTGTAACCGGCTTGTTGAAGGAGATGCGTAACCCGAAACGTAAAACACCAGAAACGATGTTATCCACTGTACAGTGATATAAAATACGTACAGCAGCTTGAACAAAGATATCTATTTTAACTGTATTTTCTATTAACATCGTAAAGCTATTTCATCTCTTTAAAATATCAGAACAGTGAACACATGCATTGTGAAACTAACTTTTAAAGCAGATATGTGTATCACGATACATATCGTATCGAATGTATTGTGCCGTTACAGAACAGGGTACGGGATACGGGATACGGGGTACAGGGTAGGGGTTACATGGTACATGGTACGGGGTACGGGATACATGGTACAGGGTACGGGGTACGGGGTACAAGAGTCAGGTAATTTTTAAACGGCACATACACCCTTAAGGGAAGTAATTGATGTAAGTATGTGAAGAAATCGGGTGGAACGCTGGAGGATGAACCCCCTTAAACTTGTACGTTTTCATCGAAACGTTTTCTTCTCAATGACCATACGGTGCACTCTAACTAAAGATGGGTAACACTTCTAGGAACATTGGTCAAATAATCATTTTCCCTTAAACATTACTTATCCCATCAAAATTATTGAAACTAAATTATTGAAACTAAGGGGTTTCCCAGAGTTTAGCACAACAGATAAATAAAAGAAAAACTTAAAGCTTTACAGAAAAGTTAAGAACCTTTGTCGCGAAAATTGTTGACATTCAGTAATATTTGTAAGTTGTCGCCATATTTGTTCTTGGGTTACGTGGTTACTCCAATACACAGAGCACACGCATTTTTGGAAATCAAACCCGGTCTGTGTGTACCCGGTCCTCTCCTGTTTCCGTGGTGCCTGTGACCAACCTTTTGTTCAAGTACTGGGTGAATCACAATGGGATACTCGAGCACGGACATCACATACATGCAGGGTTACCTTCGGCAGCGAAGACTTAGAAAAGAAGAGGGGCGGGGGGGGNGTTGTTTTGTGACTTTAAACATTTTGTATTAACCAAAATTGGAAAACAGGATTTGGCACAAGTTATTACAACTTATGAAGCCATCTCCTTACAACAATAATTCAAAACAACAGATGATGATATAGACTGTCAATTTCAATTCATAGTAGTACGAAGCGATTTTTAAAGTAACACATACACATACAAACAAACAAAAACAACAACATACTTTAAAGTCAAGTTCATGATCGAAACATGTTATAATCTTCCACTGGATCTAATAAAAGTTTGCACTTGTTTGAATACATCACATTTTGTATCCAAAGCCAGATTTTCATTTCCGAACAGTAATAATCTCTACGTTAAATGTACATTTACATGATTTATATGTTAAAAAAGTACAGTACGAGCATTTGTATAAGGTTGACATTCAAAGAAGAAGCGATAGGCATTTTCGCAATGGTAGCCACAATTTAAACAATTGGAGTCTTGGACCAAGTTTGCACGGTAAAGATCATGTTTGAGAGGACTGCATTCGTGTCTTAGTCTGGTATGAAGAAAGTTTAGTTTTCTGTCACCATGTAGGTAATGAGGGGGTTTACGTACTGTTTGGGACTAGAGCTGATTTGAAAGATGACAAAGACATGGATCTAATATTATAATCTAGAGTATTCCCGCATTTTTAATGAAGACGGCAAGAAAGATAAACTAGTAGTAGAGAGTCTGAAATTGGGAATTTTGTAGTTTTTATTATTTCTAAGAGTATGTCGGTTATCTCCTACCTTAGTGGGAAGTAGATTTGTTAGGTAGTTCGGGGTTTGATGCCTATCCATTTTGTAGATCAACTGAAGTTTTCGTCGTCTTTTTCTATCCGAAAGTAATTCAAGACCAGTTTCTGTATATAATGATTCATTTCTAGCATATGACAGTAAACCTGTAATTATTCTAGCTACTACTCTCGTTCACAGAGTGAGTCGACAGTTCCTGCTTGCTTGAATTGCAAAACGAAAGCCTCGAACAGTTTCCGATTGGAAAAATAAAGAATGTGTTATTTTTCTTGATGTTGATGGTTTATCACAATTTGTCAAAAGAAAACGATTTTATGTTCATAGAAGGTTTGTATAACGTCTCAAAGCGGTTCACAAATTAGTATCCGTGGTTGTAGGGCCTTTGCAACCAGCCAATATCTTTCTCAACTCCCTGGGTAGCATACATTGTAGCCGGTGTTGCCATTTCGGCGCTCACAGCTTGCATTCAACAATTCAAGCACTGTCCAACCACATACTCATTTACAGCTGAGTAGACTGGACCAAGCGAAGTAAAGTATATTGCTCAAAGATACAACACAGTGCCGTGCCGTGACGTGACTCGAACCCGCAATCCTTCGGTGACGAGCCCGGCCGTCCTACCACTGAATGCTTAAGAATAGCATGGATATACTGCTGTCATTGTAGTAACATAGATATCACCTTGTTCTGTCCAGACACGACCTATCAAACAACGGATTTCGCTCCACAATACGAGTTATATTTAATTATTTTAATTATTTTAGTAATATAAATAACATCAAAGAAGACACACTATTTCGTACATATAGAATGGACATTGTAGAACTGTCATTCCTATAGCATCGTCTCGTCAGTCTTCGGACACCAATGTATACGGATGTTAAACTGAGTTTTAAACTTTTACAATTCTAACAGTTCCACTGCTGATCCGGTGAACATCCAAATAAAGTAACGTAGACCATGATGACGTCAGTTCCGTTTGGACTCACAGACGGGAGTGAGGCAGCAATGGACACAGAGACCGTAGAGTATTTGGAGACAGCCACAGTTGATCTCTAACACCTTAAACATAGGCGTTATGTACCAGACATATATGGAGGCGAGGTACGCGAACTCACATCACCACTCAGCCGCAATGCAGCACGCGCAAAATGTTGTCGTGATCGTGAAGCATGATTGTGAGACGGACCAAACACAGTTGAAGCTGTGTGCGCCATCAGGCTCCGCTAGGATGTCCTCGAACCGTACCTGTCAATCAAATAGGACACATTAGGACTCAGTGACAATCACAATTGTTTTATTCTCATAAATGTAACCCATGTAACCCTGTACCCCATGTGTACTAGGTTCACTGCACTAACACATCATCTATCACGTGCATAACATTGTCATTCTTACATAAGTAAATACATGTCAGTATGTACGTGCGTGCGTATGATTGGTTGAATGGGGTGAGGAGTATAAACGGAATGCACGGGCAGACCGGAGTCCTGTCACGTCCCAACCCAACTCTCTCCAGCCATTCCTCTTCAGGACTCGTAGGAGTCAACATCCATCCGTATCAGCCCTGGTAAGTCTGTCTGTAATGTTCACATTGTCATTGTACGTTTGTAATTTACCGTCTTGTATACTCGCGTCTTTGTATTCAATTCGATGTATGTAAGTTCAGGTCAATGTGTTATCAAATGTATCTATTGTATTCGTTTGTTAATATTACAGGTTTTTCCTACGGGAATAAACAAGATAAAACATCCAAGCCTGTCGTCTTATAATTTGAGGGGCAAGGGGCTACAAATGGCGCCCACGTAAATAAAACCAGGGCCAGCCGTCGAACCTGTGTGTATGGTTTTTCCGGAATTCCCTCCTACCCGCAAAGGTGAAGGTCACACCGGCGACTTCCGGTTCGCTAAGGAACCAGAGTAAGAGAACACTACCTACATGGGGAAATGATGGCGTGGAGGTGTTGATGGACCTGACCTGGGAAAAGGTTCGGCAGGTCAATCCTAAGGGTTTTTAAGGAGGAAAAGAGGACAGTTAAGATGGTGGACACGGGCGTGAACGCCAGTCGACTGACCTGGAGAACTCTTTATCATATGTGATTTCGTCTAAGTGTGAAAATTATGCCGAAACCAGTTTGGACACTGCCAAAAATTTGAATTTATTTATAAAAAAAAAAAAATTGTTTTGAGCAACTTCAACATTTAGTACGTTATACATGTTTATTGTTTAATATTTATTCGTAATTTTTGTCTTACCAGGGATCATTAATCCTCGTTTCTGCATTCATCATCATCATCGTTGTCATAATCATCACCATCACCAGAATTACCATGAGTAGCAAAACCTTCCCATATCCCGTATCCCTTCCTGAGTGTCTCCCAAGCACATGAATGCAAGGTAAGTTCAAAGCATTTGCACTTTCAGAACCTAGTACACATGTGTTTAGTCATGAATATTTCTAAATGAGTGTAAGTAAGTTAACCAAATATATAGAAAAGCCTGTTACCCCACCCCATTTTCTGAATAAATATCCCATTCTTGTGACCAGTAGTAAAGGCTATTTTTTGAAACGAAATGAGGATATCATCAAAAATTTAGGTTATAATCTGGAATTTCAGTGTAGGGCAGGGGGTACTTTTGGTCAGGCACTGCATTGGCTCCAATGTTTTTTACCTGAGCGAGTGCGCAGACATAAAAATATTGTCTTATATGTTTGGTTGGGAACCTGCGATCTTACCACCAAGGTAGGAAGGTACATTAACCTAGCACATACCTCAGACTTAGAGTGTGAGGGGTATGTCAGGAGCAGTATAGACTCCATTGTTGTTTTTTTACAAAATTTTCCAACTGTCAAACTTACATTCCTGGAGATTCCCCCTTATAGTATAGGGATATGGAACAGATGCAAGGGACATAAA